GGGGGCCGCCCTGCCCAGGGGCCCCCCGCCTGGCTTTCTGGGCTCGGGCTTTTGCTCTTTCCTGTCCGCCCCAACCCTCCCCACACTCCCCCTCCCCCCGGGGGGCGGCGAGGGGGTGGGGGAGTCGGAATGTGGACCGCATGACCGAGGATGCTCGTGTCGCCAGCATCCTCCGCTCTCCGCGTCTCGGGAGAGTCCGAGGTGCGGGTGCGCGGCTGGAGGGCTCTGTCCGGGCGAGGGTCTGGGTAGCGTCTTCTCGGCTAGGCAAGGGTCTCCTTCGAACGGGAGGGCGGGGGTCGGGGAGAAAACGCGCCTTGGCTCGAGGAGAGACGAGGTGGCATTTGGTCTCTGTGCCTGTGCCCCGGGGGTCCCTAGGCGACGGCGACCAGCGGCTAGCCGTGCGCCATGCAGTGTGGTCGGCCGGCTTGACTGTACGGGAGGGATGGTGCGTGTGTGCGCGTGTCTGGCTGTCTCTGGCTATGGAGATGTGTATAGGACAGCTACCTAGGCGTCCCTTCTCGTGTGGGAAGTAGACGATGAGAAGTGGCCTCAGAGCGTCTTGGGAGGAAACAGTGCGACCTGCGCTACTTGCGGTCACCGGCTAGCTCTCCCGGCTGCGCGCCGCGTCTTCCTCTCCGAGGATTCCTCCTCGGTCTGGAACAGCTCGAGCGCCTCTGCCCTCCCCCCTCCCCCAGGCCGGCGCCCAGCCCCCACGGCGGTGGGCTTCTCTGTCGCCCGGGACTTCCGCAGCGGCGGCGAGCGGGGCTGCCTGGGAGTCGTCGCCGCAGTCTGAGTCTCTGGTGCCCCTTAGCGTTGGATCTCGGAGCTCCGAGAAGGGGACGCGACAGACACACTGGGGAAATCTGGGGTCACCTCGATTCCGGCTCGAGGCTGTGGGCAGACCTCCGTCTCCTTGTCTCTGAAGAGGCGGCCGACCTCGCGGCGAGCCCCCGAGCCCCCGGGCCCCCGAGCCCCCGGGCCCGCGAGGACGCGGGCGGGAGGCACCCGGCGTGCGAGCCCCCTGGGCGCGCAACGGAGCGCAGCGCTGTCCGGGGCTGTCTCCGGTGGTCGCGAAGGATGCGGTTCGCTGTGTCGCCTGCTTCCGTCCCTGCTTTCTAAAGAGCCTAATGCCTTGCCTGAGTGCACGTTCTCAGGAGTCGTAGTAGGCGTCCTCGTCCTAAGTCAGATACCTTGAGAAACCAAAGGGAGGGGTCATCGTATCCATTTTCCTTTTGCAGGCGCCATGGGTGTTGGGGTTGAGGGAGCAGTGGGTGTTTTTTAAATGGGACCTCGCAAAGCCTAATGGTCGAGATTCAACAACCAGGTCCCTTCTGAAGCGTAATAAGGTACCGAAGATTACGAAATGTTGCCCGTGTAAATTCTAAGTTCCTAAAAACTACTTGTGATGACCACCAAAAAAAAAAAAAAAATGGGTCCGGTTTGTTGGCTGGTTTGCTTATTAAGGGTGATATCGTGTTTTTATTAAAGATCATTTGTGTAAATATACCATTCCAGTACTTTGAATTTCAGCATATTGAATTTCTGATTATTGTCAGCATTTTCCTTCATAATTCATATACAAATACTATTTATTAGCTAGATTGTTTATTAATCAGTTGATGTCTGTAGTTTATATGAGGACCCCGAGCCACAAGCTTGTACTCTAAACTAAATAATATGTGTTCATATGTTCACACAGACATCGTTATTGTTATACAAGTAGTGTATGTGCATTGTAGAAACATTTTCAAAAGAAAAAGAGCAATTTAAAAAGTCATAACTGATCTCAGCACACACAGAGATGTACTATTTTCATCTTATAGCATCTTCCTAACATTTTTATTTTGTATTGTCAATCCGGTTTTGTGATACTTGTCCAAGGTCTTTGAGGAATTGAAGTAGAAGTTATGATAGAATATATTTCCACATGTATGAAATAATAAAATATTTTCCCTTCAATATCACATTAATTTTAATGAGACACACAAATTTTAATGGTGGCTCAGATTGTTGGCATCCCTCTTACTCTCAATGTGTGATTAAATCAGAAGTAGAACCCAAAATAAAGGAAATAAAAGAAACAATCTATAAAACCAAAGGATGGTAATTTCTAAACAAGAAAAAGGAGCAAGGCCGGTTCTGTTATTTTTATCTAATTAGTATGCAGATCTAGTCAAATTATATATCAGAAAATATTTCGATGATACTTATGAAAAGCCCTAGATACTACATTAAAATCATAGTGCTTAATGTGATTTTTACTTTTTCTAACAGACTAGAGTTCATTCTTTGTTCTTAAGTCAGCTGAGACTTGCCTTCTAATGTTTCTCATGAATTGGGTCAGCTGTTATAAAAGACAATTGAAGGGTGCAGGCCTGCTGAAACTGTTAACCAGTTCCACCTCTGTTTGGCCTAGTGAGCTGTAGGAAGACTGAGATGAAAGACCGTATCTGGCCTCTTGAAAGTTAGGTGAAGGAAAAAACCAAGTGAGCCAACAATCACAGAGAAAGGGACTCCGTGAGGCTGAGCAATTTCCGAGACTTCGGAATGGAGTGGTGACCTCCAATCAGATTTTGAGAGAAACCAGGCATATGTAGGTATTGAGGGCACAGATTGCAGTCAGAAAGGAGTCTTTTAGAAAGAGGGAAAGGGTATTTCAGAAGAATAGCCGTGTTCAAGGACTCAGGAGTTCGAAGGAGCCCAGTTCACTGGAGGGCCTACAGACAGACTGGTGTGCTATGTTGAGTGTGACCTGCCTATCTGGAGGGGGTGAAAAGAAGAGGGGAGAGAAGGGTTGGGACTCTGCTATGAACCACACAGTAGAATGCGTGAAGGGAATTGGCTTTTCACCTGAAAGGGATTGGGATTCATGAAGGAAATTTAGATCGTGATTTGAATGCTTGTTTTCATTAACATCCCTGTTCCTTAAAATCAAAATGAGAAGTGAGTTCAGAGAACGTGTTAACCAGATTAGTAAATGCTGATTCTTGTTAGCTTTATCAGCTAAAATATTGCACAGTGGCAAAGAAGAGCAAATAGTTTGGCTGGAATGTAGGTTTCATTTATCAGGAAAAGCAGGCTGTGGAGTCTAGAAACTCCCACGTAGGTTTTACCTCGGAGTGTGACTAATGGCATAGAGAAGTTTAATAGCACCGGCACATTTCAGAAGGCTGCTGAATAGTAGTTGCAAATACATTATATTGAGGGTTCTGCCGACAGGCTGTATTTTATATAAGAGAACATTGCAGAGATGCTCTACACATATATCATACCTCTGTAATTACTGTTTGGGGTGTCATGTCTGCTTATATCCTTCAAAGATTCACAATTCTTAAGTTATTTGATTATGCTTATTTTCATGGGAATCTTCATTTTTATTTCTGTTGAAATGGCTAAATTTGTTATGCACTGGGAGATGGGTTTTTTTATTCTGCCTTTCTGCTATAAAACGATAAATGTTATATTTGCTGTCTTCTCATAAATGTATTCTCATCCTTTAGAATGAACATCTTTCTACAGTAATAATTTTATCATAGAAAAGTAGCCCAGCCGTGCTCGGTGGCTCAGCCTGTAATCCCACGCCTTTGGGAGGCTGAGGTGAGTGGATTGCCTGAGCCCGTGGGTTCGAGACCTGCCTGGGCGGCGAGACCTCATCTCTACAATAAATCAAAAAATCAGCCGGGCGTGGTAGCACATGCCTGTAATTCCGGCTACTTGGAAGGCTGGGGCGGAAGGATCGCCGGAGCCCAGCAGGTCGAGGCTGCGGTGGCCGGGAGCAGCCACTGCACTCCAGTCTGGGCGACAGAGGGAGACTCCAACTCAAAAAAAAAAAAAAAAAGTAGCCAAAATGAAAATATCTTCTTTTCTAATGAAAGTCATTACTTAAATATGTCCACTTCAAAAGTCTGATAAATAATGACTCTGAGATAATTTCCTTATTCACTCTGAATGCCTCCTGAAGGTGCAAAAATAGACGTTTTGTTGTCATAACTATGTGCGACATAAAAGTGAAAATAGGATACACTCATATATGTATTAATCCAGGAAAGAAATTTTGTGCTTTCAGAACTCACAAATAATGTGCAAATTCTTGAGCACCATGTCTTCATTTAAAAAAAAAAAAAAAATTAAGTGTAAAGAACTAGAAAAGGACTGTCTAAGTTTATCTGTTTAAAAATATAAGATTGAACCACACACTTGTGAGCCCACTGCCATTCACTAATGTAAACCTCTATTTAAGATAAAAGCAGATTCTAGCACTAAAAGGTACCTGAGG